TTAACATCTACATGAAACCACTGAGAGTGTTTTGGGGTTCAGTGTCACCAGTATGCTGATGACACACAACTCTACCTCTCCTTGCCTTCTGAATTCAGCTCTAGATCAGTACTGGACTGGTTGAGAGCGAATTCAGCTCTAGATCAGTACTGGACTGGATGAGAGCAAAGAAATTGGAACTCAATCCAGACAAGACAGAGGTGTTCCTGGTAAATTGAAAGGCAGATCAAGGAATAGGGATGCAGCCGGTACTGGATGGGATTACACTCACACTGAAAAAAACAGATGGGCAGCTTGGGGGTGCTACTGGATTCATCCCTGAATCTGGATGCTCAAGTCTCAGTGATGGTCAGCAGTGCATTTAAAACTAGTGCACCAGCTATGCCCATTTCTCAAGAGATTTGATTTGGCCACTTAGTTACTTCTCGGCTGGACTACTGTAATGTGCTCTATGTGGGGCTATCAATGGAGAGTGTCAGGAAATTTCAATGGGTCCAAAATGCAGCAGCCAGATTGCTGACTGGGGCTAGTCACAAGGATTAAATAACCCCTGTTACAGCAGCTCCACTGGCTGCTGATCAGTTACCGAGCACAATTTAAAGTGCTGGTTTTAACCTAAAAAGCCCCAAATGACCTGGGTCCAAGCTATCTCAAAGACCAGCTTGGGTGTTAAGAACATTAGGAGAGGCTGTTCTCTCAGTCCCACCACCTTCACAGGTGCATCTGATGGGGACACATGAGAGACCCTTCTCTGTTGCTGCTCCCAGACTTTAGAACAACCTCCCACAGGAGGCCAGACTGGCCCCATCTTTGCTGTCCCTTCCATCAAACAGGCAAAAATCTTTCTCTTTAGTCAAGCCCTCCCTCAATAACCAGCTTACCTGTGTGTGTCTTTTTTTTAGACAGATTGTTAGGCAATACTGCTTTGACTGGATTTTTAGTACTACTTGTGTTTTCCATTATTTTTCCCCATTTCTGAGCAGGGAAAGTGACATTTTTAAAATCTTTGATTACTTATTGATCTTTGCCTCAATATTGCCTGTTAATGATGTGAGATGCTTCCTTATTCATTTTTTGTAGTTTTAAATATTATCTTTTAATGATGTTAACCACCATTGTATACTCAATGTTTTCAAATTTAAATATTGTCTTTTGTTGTTATAAGCCACCTTGGGTCCTTTTGAAGGAGAAAAGTAGGGTAAAACTATTTTAAATAAATAATATAAATGAATACATTGAAACTCATTCATCAAAGTTGTATCTACAAAGAAAGAAGTACCTTGTTTCACGTCAAACTCTAGGGGTAATAATGTCTAAGCTCGCAGATTTAACTACAATGAAAAAAATAAGTAAGGGCACTCAAGAAACAGTGTCAAAACCTGTCTAGATTCAAGCAGAAAAGTTCTGTCAGCTTCTTTCTTTCTCTATATTTTAATTCTGCCAGTTTCAAGCAAGCAAGAGAGTTAGGCAAGGGTAATTCAAAAGCAGAGTCCAAAGCAGTCTAGTTTCATACAGGAAAAGACCAACGAAATCAAGCAAAGACAGAGCATAAGTAGGGTCACATGCTATCCCAGCTCAGAGGACAAAAGACATTTCTTCTTAGCAGTTCCTCTGCAGATGGCCACTTTGGTGAGGATTGCTGGGAGTTGCAGTTCAGCAACACTTGGAGGGCCACATTTTGCCCAGGTCTGTAACCTAGTCCAAGGTAGCGACGTGGTGGCGCTGGTGCCCAAGACCAGTCTTGGTGGTGGATTCTTCCAGCAGAGGCATAATAATAATCAGTACTATTGCCAAGAGATGGAAGATGGTGAAGTGCAGGTCTTCTATTTCAAAACTTTTATATCATCTTCATGACACTGGGAAAATGTATTTACACATGCGTGAAGTACATTTGCAATACAACATGACATTTAAAAGTCTTGTTCTTATGATGCAATTGCTATGGAGAGAAAGGGCATGCACCCACGCAGGGGCAAATTACTTTTCCTGCTCAGGTGGCTTTCCATGCAGTAACTTGCATAATTAAGTTATGTGAGCACAATTCATGGTTTGACACAGAAAATCTTTGCTTTCAAGGCTGCTACAAGTATGTGGCATATTATTCAGATAGAAGACTGAAAGATCAAGCGGGCTGCAAAAATCAGCTTATGTTCTACTGCTCTTTTTGAAGCAACCAAAGAAGTTTAATACCAATTGGCACTGTCATAAGGGCTATGTCCCTTCAGAGATTCAGATGAATTAGGTGTACTGAATCCTTGACCTGAATCTCCCCTCAGATTAATCTCCTGTCCTTTCCTAGCTCCTGGGGGAACACAGTTTCCTGTATACATGCCCTCCATCTTGCTTTCCCCCTTTTGATGACTACTCCCTCACCAGTCAAAGCAGAAAATTAAATTGGCTGGAGCGAGGTACGGGTGGAGTCACAGGGGAGTGTGCGAGTGTTTTTGGCATTCACAACTCCATGTAACCTTCTGGTATCACTAAGAATGATGGTTCTGTGGTGATTTCAAAAAACCTTACATAGAAAGAAAAGCCTGTATCTGGGATATATATATAAAACCCATCTGGTTCGTCCTGGGATTCCCCTCATCAATATATCAAGTGAACCTTTGCAAAGGTCAGCAGCCAGTGTACTATGAAGTCCCAGTGTGCTATATAGGCTGTTGGTGTGAAGAAAAATTCTATTCACCATCAGGAGCCTTGAGCAGCCAATTCATTTCCTTCTTCCATCTCTAGTAACATGAGGTTAATTCTGTCGTATGATTTCACGGGCGACTGTGCAAGGTTTTAAATTGGATATGAAGCAATGATCACCTCCAATACTTCATTTCACATATTTTGTGCTCCTCTCTCCCCTTCTCTACAGAAGACACAACAATCCCATCAACTGCATACTACCTCCTTTTCGATAAAACTGGAAGAGGTTGGATCAGGCTGTAGACAAAGGCATCAGTAGCAAGAACATGCCATAATGAAAAACTGGCGGTGACTTGGTCTTCAGCCTCCTATGGCAGTAAAATATATTTGGCTAGGAAGTACAGGGAACATGTTCTTGCAAGGAGATACCATAGCACAGGAACACTATAATCGCCTACCAACTGCAGTGCTCCGCCTATGGTAACGTATCATTTATCTTTTCTACAATTTGGATGCAAAAGCAATCTGCACAGGGCTTGGAACAGATGTTTCGAAGCTTACAGCCCAACCTTGGACCTCCAGATGTTCTTGGACTGCAATTCCCAGAAGCCTTCACCACCACCTCTGCTGGCCAGGATTTCTGGGAGTTGAAGTCCAAGAACATCTGGAGGCCCAAGGTTGGGGACCTCTGGCTTGCATGGACCAGGTATGCTAAAATGTGAATGCCTGGATAACTCAGTGAGTCAGGTACCTGGAGATTGGGAGTTAAATTCCCCACTGTGTCTCCCATGAAAAGAACCAGCCTAGCATAGGGCAAGCTGCACACTCTCAGAACACCAGCAGAAGAAAGGAATGGTAAATCAATTCTGAGTATTCTATATCTAGAAAATCATGGAAGGGGTCCTTGTAGATGGAAACTGACGAGAAAGAAGACGATTAGCTTTAGAATTAAGACCTTATAAACCATGGCCATGGCCTGATTGGCTGATCTGTTTTCCTTTCTGTTTAAAATAACTAGAGATAGTGATGGGGATTCTACCAATCTACCAGGTAAACTAGAAATGGTGCGAGCTGAGAATAAAACTTGACATCTGGAAAATGTAGAGTAAGATGGCTAATGTCCCTGTAGGTCAGGGTCAGGCTGCTGATGCTGAGCAATGCATTTAATCTGTCAAGCTGTCAAAACCTCCACCACATATTCTTACTTATTACTGTCACCCAGGGTCACCCATATGGAGTTGCTTCTTGACAATGCTGAGACCTCCAAGTATTCCAGGTGAAGTTTGGATGAAAAGCTTAGGAAAGTATTTGCAGCTCAGTCTCTCAGATACCAAAGGTGACATGAAGAAGTAATTAATATAAAAATGAGGAAGTCTCATGAGGTCTTGGTTTGCTCTTGTTGTGTCTTAGTAGAATGGGAATTTCCTGCGTTTTACCACTGGTCTCAGATACTCAGCCTTACAGTTTTGTTTGTGCGTAATATGGCTAGAATTTCACCTTTCAAAGGGTGGTGGACCTCTGGTTTAAGGAAGGCTTCGAGCATAGTATCCTGCTTCCTCACTCTGCACCTAAGACCTTAATTGCAAATAATTTGCAATCCTGTGCCAGTTCTGTATGGTGATAGTGGTGGGGCTGTTGTTCTGAAGAGTTTCAGAAAGAAGCCTCTTTAAGAAAGTATGCTTCAGTGTAAAACTCATTACTAAAATTGGCTGGCCCAGTCCTATTATGCAGCATCCCAAAACACAGCATTACACAGGAACTGAAATGACATTGGTGTCTGTAGGCAATTAAATTAGCAAAGGTCTTTAGAGTAGGAGGCATTTTTTGTTACTTGTCTTCTGGCGTTTCACCTCCCAAGTAAGCAAGTGGCCTAGATTGTCATCTGTGGCCAGGATTGCTGGTACAGCCAAACAAACACTCATCACTCTCATAACTTTGTCTAACTATGTTGCTCCAGGTCCCGCTTATTCTGTGCACAGTAGAGATTCTATCCCTTTCACTTTGGCTTGGCTGAAACAAAAAGCAAAAAGAACCTAATAGGAGAAGTCCTGTAACTTTTCTATAGTTATATTTTCCTAGCAGTCATGGGAAAGAAGAATATTAATAGCAATCTGGAATTTCCAAAGAGGAACCTGGAATATCAAACATTCTGACCGAGACAGCAGATTTGCTAGGGCTTAACTGAAATGATATCACAAAGCTTTTTGAAAGAGATATTGCATCCTTGGCACTGTGACCTACAAGCAGAAAGTGATCCCATGTCTATCCCCTCCCCACACATATCAACAATTGTGCTCTTTTATTTTTGAACTGTAACCTTTCCATAGAATGTACCAACATCCATGTTCTCTCTAGACTCTTACCTACGTAAGAGGAGCTTGGGGTGATTTTTATTCTCCAGGTTCTTCTCAATCAGGTCAGACAACAGCTGCTTCAAGACATCCGTGGCATATTCTAGCTTTCCTTGAAGACCCGTCATGATGAGGGAAGCCACATTGCCCCTATCCCGCATGGAGAAACTTCGCTGCATTTCCAGGGTACGGATGAATGTCAACAGGAAGACTTTGTTGTTGATCAGCTGGGCAAAGAGTTTCAAGGCCTTTTCAACACTCTGCTGCCCATTGCCTTGAACCTGTAAGAAGTGAAGCATGTCTTTAAGGATCATGTGAAAAAGATGATTCCCTTTACTTCCAGACTGGTTTGGGCTTTCTAAATGTTCAGAATAATGGTACTCTACACAGTGCACTGTATGCTGTTGTTAATTGGGGGATTTGAATTATGAGACTGCTGCACAGAAGTGACCCTTCTCACCACAAATTGATTACTGATTTTGGATATGACATAGCTGAGTTGTGAAGCTTCAGTAAAAATACAAACACAAAATACAAAATCCCACACAGCTTTTGCACAAGTCCTAATGGTAAGTAATTCATTATGAGCCAAAATAATAAAGCGCTCAGTGAAATTCTTTCCCAACATTTTCAGTCACTTATGTATTCAAATAGTTCACATTATGTAACTAAACAGCTGTGTAATTGGCAGCATATTCATTTACTATAGCATTTGGGGGGGGAATGAAATAAAATAAGGCATCACATATCAATATTTACTTGCTGTTTGCTGATATAAAGCAGGAGGTGACTGACTACTTAAATGCCAATTTCCACATGTGTAATTCCACTGGGGCAGCATTCATGTAAACAGATCAATGAAATGACTCTTAATTTGGGAAATTGGAATTGTAAAGATAGACATGAACTTTACTTGACTGAAAACTATTCATTTATTATAGAGTAAAACTAGCAGTTAAGCTTCTAGCCCTTACACTTTCTCATATGAAAGCTTCTAATCATTCAGTTAAAAAACATTCCACCTGCCTTTGAAAAATATATTTCTATATGTAAGTTATATCAGATAAGATGTTGTGTGGCAGATATTACTGCAGCATAACTGATATACATTCATGTCTACTACAATTAGTTCTGCAATGTTTTATGGGCCTTGAGAATAAAATTAATTTCTTTGAACTCAGTAGGAAAATTATGAACCTGTGGCTAGTCACATTCAGCTTTGAGTGCACTTTTTTGACTCCCACTAACTAATATGAGTTTGCAGCTCTTCTGGAACTTTGGAAGAAAGAGGCCTTGATGCATACAGCATGACTTGCCTCTAAAATAAGAAGTATGGTATATAAGCCTCTGAGAATATAGTCTAGACAGATCATCAAAATGAATGGGAGTTGCACACAACAACACACTGATACTCTTGGGCATGACAAATAATGTTTGTAAAATCAACACTGAAAATGATACCAAGCTTATACAAAATGGCAAGCATTCTTTCACTTAAGTTAAGCTTGACCTTCCAGCCCTGGTTTTCAAAGTATTGCTACTTGAGCTACAAAACATAGCTGCCAGGTTTGTTTTAATTAGAGCCCTAGAGAAGAAGGACCTTCTATATTGATCAATAACTTACTCAGCTACTGGCAAGATACCACAGCTGTGTATGTTGGCCAACAGGACAGCAACACAGACCGTGGATCCTCTCTACCATCATGTGTCATCTCTTTGTATGTTGTGTATCAGAAAGATTGCAGAGCTCCTTACTTTATCTACAGCAAGCGTTTGATTCGGAAGACAAAGGAAACATGGAAATGTCTGTACTGAAACCACTGGAGACAAATGAATATCAAAATGAAATCTGAACTGGTTCACAGGTCATCCCTGTGGGTTACTGAGGCAAGAATATTTCAGGGTTATTACTCTCACACTGGCAGCAGATACAAGTAACACCAAAAAAAAATAAAAATCCAGTGGATGGTGCTACTCTTTATTTTGTTTTTCCACGGTCAAATGCTAGTCACAGCATTTTCATGCTAAAATGGATCCCATCTGCTCTTGCAGTTGCTTGCTTTGTATCAGAGCTACCTCAAAACTAGGATGGTACAATTGGTAAGTGCAGCTGGCAGTGTAGGCAAAGCTGAAGTGATGTGACCAAGGTCTGTGGCATACAAAAGCTTTTCCAAGCAAAGGACAAGATGTAGACAACTTGGCAAGCTTCTTTGCAAAATGGAAGGTTTGTTCCCCTGGGGGCAGCAGGGTGGAATTCTCCCAAGCACTTCCCCTCTCTTTGGTTTCCTTTTTCACAAAGAGAGAATTCAAAGAGGCTTTAAACATTTGCTGGTAACAAGTGCAGCTGCTTTGCTGTTGAATGTTCAAGGCTGGTCATGGAGCTTTAGTGACAAGGCGGGGTGGAGAAGATGGAAAGACAACAGCCACACAGAAGATATCAAGCAAACTGGGTGTAAAATACATGAGACCTATGGTTTTTGTCATAATGAACTTTGGTGTTCATTGTGCTTATTTTAGCACTTCTAATAAGATTCAGTGTGGGAGGCTGCAAGGTGCTTTCGTAGCTGTGTGAGTTTTAATCTAGCTTCCCAGAGGGGACATTGGGAACAAGAATGCCTGTTGCTTGATGAGACTGAAACTGAGAGAAACTCTGTTACCTCTAGCTCACGCAGGACAGGGTGGTCTTCAATGCCGGGGAAGAGGACCCTCATGGCATATGTGCGATAGTCAAGGTACGGGATCCCTGAGCGGTCCAGATCACTGGTTAACTCATTGATGTCTGTCTGTAGCTCTGCAAAAGCTATTAGGGAGGGAGGGTGAAAGACAATCAGTGACAAACGCTGGGAACGGAGGCTGTGGTACAAGCAATCAAGGACTGCAAATGAGCCAAGCCAAGGAAGCTTGTTTACTTTAGACCTCTCTGTGTCACTCAGATATGCCCTCAAGCTGGGAGCCACTTCCCCAGCATCCTAGAGAGAGGGAGAATGAGTGCTCACATAATGCAAAGAACAGATGCCAAGAACAAAACACACTTGCTAATTTGTATGCTGTTCACACCTTGTATGTAAGCACTGAAAATGCTTTGAAAGGCACTAGATAAAAATAAAGATCCTATTTTTAAATCACTATGCCATGCAGCTTTTCTCTGTCTCTCATGCCTTCAGCCCCTTTCCCGTGTTCTTTTGCTGTAGCCATCCCAGCAAACCTAGCCCCCTTGTGCTTCATGGCTTAATTGGCATTATCCAGGGTTGAGGGAGAAAATTATTATTTACAGTAGGAGTATAAGAACTGCCATGAAATTCACATGCCCAGTCAAAGGTGGATATGGTGGTAGCAGATGAAAATACAGAGTCCTGCTATTTTCTAACACATTTACAAAGGCAGTACACAAGTATAATTTGTCTGACCTTCCATTTGTTTCACCGTGGAAGCACTGAACAAACATTGTAAGCGTATGGCAACATCATATGTCATGCCTCCAGCACATTATGCATTAACGCTCCACTAACTTGCATGCTGGAGCTTTCTTTTGGTGAATCCACAAATCATCCTTAAGATACTGTACTTGATAGTGCACCTGTTTGTGAAAGTACCAGTGTGGGTTTGGTTTCTAGGGATCATGAGCCATAATCTACTGTCCCAGATAACACTCGTGTGCACATTTCCTGGTTTCCCTTCCCTAACCAAGGGAAAAGGGAATTTATTTATTTATTTATTTATTTATTTATTTATTTATTTATTTATTTAACTTATATGCCGCCCACACTACCCGAAGGTCTCTGGGCGGCTTACAGCATTTAAAATACAATAAAAGGGCAAAAATAAAAGGTCAAAATAATTAAAATGCAATTAAAATATATATTCTAAAAATTGGGAATGGGGGAGATGCTGGGAATTTGGAGGTAAAAATGAGTACAGCCATATTTACACCATCTCTATGCAGAAGCCTAATTGAAACTAATGATCTTTTTCTGACCATGGTTCAGAAGTCAACTCCTGGGGCTTTAAAAAGCTGATATTAAAATTTCCCCCAATCAGTTTATTTCTGGATACATTTACAAGCAGACTGGACAATCTCATCCATTCTACTTGCAGCAGCCATTCACATGCCGTACATTTAATAGTAACCATAATAATGTGTTATCAAGTTGATTCTGACTCATGGCCATCTTTTCCAGCATTTTTAAGGTACAGAATACTCAGCAGTGGCTTACCATGCACCTCTTCTACAGGTGCTCTGGGACTCTGTAGTTTGCCCAAGACCACAGAGGCTGGCTCTTTTCCCAGGAGGCACAGGGGAGAATAAGCTGCATGTTCCAGCACTTAGAGCTACCTGGATAGATACCTCAGTGACACTGAGTATCAGGGGTTGTGAATTTGATTCCACACTGTGCCTCTCCGGAGGAGCAGTCCGTGGTCTTGGGTAAGCTTGGAGATCAAAATCTATTTCCTCTCTGTCCTCATTCTGTGCTGTGTCATACTACATGCAGAGCTTGTTTTCTTTCCTCTTCTTTCTTTCTGTTTTTGCTGTGTCACTATCTAAAATACTAAGGTTTAAAAATGGATGAATTTTCCTCATTAACTCTACTGCTATCAAATTGTTAATTCCTCAGTTTTAAACTGAGAAAGGAATGACGAGGCTTTCTTCCCCCCTGTTGTTACTTTCTTCAGATGGACAGTGATGCAAGAATCCACACGGAGAGCTGCACCTCTGAAGAGGACAAACTCCCAATTTTTGAAGATTCTTGTTCACATGTACAGCCTACATGGAAGCAAAGGCTTCTTCTGTTCAGATGTGTTGCTCTCCATGTGGAGAAAGCAATGACAGAAATGGGAAGGAATAGCCCTTCTCTCTAGGCACGTTGAGTAAAACTGGGGAAGTAACAACTGAATAGGTCTTTTTCAAATCAGTGAGGGGTGCAAATTTATTTTTTCTTCCTGTTTCCAACTTGCTCTGTGTAGCATTTGGATCTGGCTTCCCTCAACCTCCACATGAAAAGCCTTCGGAAAAGAAGTCAGTAGACAGCCAGGTCTCATGACCTGGCACCAAAAAACTCTATGCATGTCATTTAAATAGGATCAAGCACTAATCCTATTTTCCACACATTAGTCAGGCAAAAGATGCCTTCATATCCAATACACTTGTTACTGTCTTCCCTCATGCACAGGCCCTTGTGGGAGGGAGTTTTCAGCCTTTTTTGGTTGCAAAAGAGAGCATTTTATGACCGTGTGTGTTTGAGGGAGATTGACCAAATGTTTATCTGACAGCTGTACATGGGTTTGGTTCCTGTTAAATTCATACCAGATGAAAGGCAACAGGGTAAGCGGGAGGTGGTTACCAGAGAAACGAGACTTGGCGCTGCATAGTACTTACTGGTCATATATTCAATCAACAGGGAAAAGTTATATTAGGCAAACCAGGTGTGCTCTAGGTACATATGTGTATCAATATTAATAAGGTTGCATTATATATATATCCTATTCTCAACAATTATTTGGAAATAAATCCCACTGTGTACAGTAAGGTTTGTTCCCAGATAAGTATACAAAGATCAACACTATCATGTATTATTAAGATAACATTTTTTCTAGTAGCACATTCTTAAAGCCAGAGGAAGCATTTCCAAATTCTAACTATGGAGTATAGACTGTCTGTGGTGCCAGGATATAAAAGAAATAGTTTAATTATTAATTTATCTAAATATGTTAATAATCATGTTTGTCTATATAAAATAACAGGTGGTATGTTGACACTGTCATAAAACAGCATGCATATAACATTTTCTTGTCATGAAGTAGTGTTTCCTTGTAGCCTCACTTTTGTGTCTGTGTGTTTGTTGTTTGAGCAACCCTGGTTTCAGGGTTGCCTAATTCAAACTAACATTTTTCCCCGTGGGCTAAAGGATCACATTTTGATATTGTCAGATACTGGGCACGGGTCTTTCTTCAGTCCTTGTATTTTCTGATACTGGACCTTGGATGAATATGTAGCCTTTTAACTGAGATGTGTATGAAAGGTATAACAGGAAGCTGATATCTCTTTTATGAAGATTTACATAATTGATCTAAGATATGTGGAGTAAATTTAGTCTTTGGAGCCACTGAGACAAGAAATGAATTGTGACAATAACTGCTAGTGAGAAGACAAAAGACAATACAGAAGATATGGCCACAACCATTTGTTAAAGACATTTGTTTCTGATAGTGAGAAGTGGATAAAGGACTAAGGCTTTGAGTAAAAATGCAACTATACTGCAATCTGATTTAAAGCCATGTTGGGGACGTGGTGGCGCTGCGGGGTAAACCACAGAAGCCTTTGTGTGCTGCAGGGTCAGAAGACCAGCAGTTGTAAGATCGAATCCTCGCGACGGACTGAGGTCCCGTCGCTTGTCCCAGCTCCTCGCCAATCTAGCAGTTCGAAAGCATGTAAATGAGAGTAGATAAATAGGTACCATCTTGGTGGGAAGGTAAACAGTGTTCCGTGTATAGCCGCGCTGGCCACGTGACAACGGAATCTGTCTACGGACAAACGCTGGCTCTACGGCTTGGAAACGGGGATGAGCACCATGCCCTAGAGGCGAACATGACTGACTAAAATGTCAAGGGGAACCTTTACCTTTTACCTTGGGAGCAAAAAGAGATGGACTAATTTGAATTGGCTTTTGCATCACGCACTCAGAAAAAACAAAACCTTTGCCCTGACTTCTACACCATGTAGTTATCAGGAAATGATGCAAATCAGACTGTCTCAATTTCCCACATTGTTTTTCAGTGTAGCCACACCCATAATCTCCTACAGTCAGCACATTCTTGATTTTGGATTACATTGTTGGACAGTTGTCAGGGTACTACATTTTGGAAGTCATTTATTAAACTGAGGAAGTTGCATTTAGATGAAGCATTTATTCATTACCACATTACTTCAGATAGATGCCTTCACCTACTGAACCAAAAAATTCTTTTTCAAACTCACAACTGGTGGTCTTAAACTAGGGCTTGGCAATTTTTTCCAGACTAAGGGCTACTTTTAGTGCTCTGGTTTTGGTCTGGAGTCATACAAAGAGAGGTCAAAAAAGTGTGTTTGTTTCTTATTATTGGCTGTGCTATCATTTCATTCTAGTTTTTTAAATCGACACAAGCAACTATTTCATTTATCACTTTTAAAAGTTATCATAATTTTCATGCATCCCAAATTGCCACTGACTCTAAAACAGCAACTAAGATGTTGTCAAAGAAACCATCAAACAAATGTTGTTGTCAATGTAGGTACAACAGTAGCAACAGCAGTGTCAGTGTCTTTACTGGGGAGACCTGCAAGCCTGTTGTCAAAAGCACTTACAGTAATACCCAGCTGCTGAAATCAGAGGGCATGCTCCCTAGAACTCTCCATGAACAAAAGTCAGACAGTCTGGTTCAAATGACAATGGCAGCTGAAGTTCAAATGCAAAGGCAGTACAAGAAAGAAGAGAAGAGAAACACAGTGTGTGTGAGCACATGAGGAAACAGATCACATTTTAGACCACTTTTATGGGGAACTGCACTCCAGCCTGACTCCAATCAATGCCCAAGCTGGACCTTTTTGATCCAGATGTAGGGCTACAACCTTTTGGGGCCAGGCAGGAATGATTCTTCAGCAGATGGACAGGTTGATCTAAGGGAGATCACAAAAATGACCCTTTCTGGTGCAAAGAGATAGTGTCTTTCCAGCTGTCTGGTCACATCAACAGTTGCTGTGAAGGGACATTTTTATGGACAATAGATGGAAGAAGTAGTCATTTGCACCATGGTTGTAAAGCTATTTTTTTCATGGGTGTTACAGAGTGGGGTAGGAGAAATTAATGGTGATACTTTGGTTTGTTTGTAGGTCTTTAATTCATTGGGTTATCATACATCAGAAGTGCCTTGGTGGCACATAAGAACATAGCAACACTAGTCTTTGTGGCTGTAGCTGAAAAGCTTCACAAAGCCACTTTTAAAATAGATTTGAATTGCTTTGGTTTCAAAACCACTTATTTTAATGGCTTCATGATGAGAAAATGGGAACAACTGTGACACTTAGAAGGTCATTCTATACAGTATGCAGTGAAGGTGAAAAAGACAGTATGAAGAGAACTGTCTTCTCGTGTATGCTCTACAGAGAACTTCTAATGCAACCCTACCTGATTTTTATGTCTCACACATTCGTTCGTTTAGTCATTTAGTCGTGTCCGACTCTTCGTGACCTCATGAACCAGAGCACGCCAGGCCCTCCTATGTCTCACACACTGCCTTATAATTGGAAATTATGCCTCTTGTAGTATCTGGTTTTATCTGTTTTGGTTTTATTTCTACTTTCATTGTTTGCCATGTTTTATTATTATGCTGGAAACCACCCAAAATAGTGCTGTGATTCTATGAATTCTATGATTCTAATAGAGCGGTGTACAAATCTAAAAAAAATAAAAATAAATAACTTTGTAGCAACTCATGGCAGGATGCTGAAATGGCACTGGGGTGAAGAAACAGTCCAGGAACAACTGATTGTCCAACCTTGCCTTAAACTATGTAGGCAAGATTGCAACACAAAAACCCAGTTTCATTTGTAGAGAATATCACTGAATCCCAAATGCACGGTATTTCCATGAAAACATGCTGCACCATGTTGAGAACACCTATTATAAAGGCCACAAACACATGCCCTTTTAAAAACAGTCCTTTTCTTGAATGAATCTTAAGTCACACATGACGCTTGTTTGTATATTAGCTTTCCCGGAAGAGCAATACTGACCTTCTTTGCACTCAAGGGCCACCCGAGACTCCAAGTTGTCCATCTGCATCTGTAGTCTCTTGAGAGTAAGGTCATTTTCATGGGACTTGCGCTTGTAGGCAATGAGCACAATGATGACTATGATGAGGAGAAGGCTGCCTCCTGCTGCAATGCTTACAATAGCTGGCAGGGTCAGCAGGCTATCCGAGATCACATTCACCGAGCCAGGTGAGAAGACAATGCCACCCACATGTACCTAGACAAATGAAAAACATGAGGGTCAGGCATCAGATTCTACTGCAATACCCACATAGACTGAGTGAAAGCAGAGGGAACGAGAAGCATCACATACTCAGGAAGGGTGATGGGTGTAAAGGATCAAAGAGTCTGAACAACTGCTGCTACAAAAGAAAGAGGTGCTGGGGCTATGGTTGGCATCAGGGAGAAGAGACTGAGTAATTCCCATGCCAGTTCCCATGTCAGAAGAAGAAGGAAGAGAAACAGCTATCATTGCTCTAGTTGTTATCTTAATAGGGTTTCTTTTTCAGAAACCTGTGTCTTCATGGAAAGGTGCCTGTCAAAAAATCCCCTGCCCATGTCACTTCTGCTCTGGAAATCATTCCCCAAAGGCCAAAGAAAACACACTAGAATGCCGAGACACAGATGGGACCATGCAAACAGTATCTATCTTTAGAAAGGAAGGGCACAGCCTATTTGAAACACTGAAAGCGTCAAGTTGCGATAAATACGTCATCCGAGCACTATCACCGCTTTTGTTCTGATTATCTGATGGCTCCATTTGACTTTCATTTCAGAGGCTTTCAAGTTTCCTTTTGTAAACCAGGGACATTAGAGACAGAACGACAATTTCATTGACAAAGGCGCTTAAAGGGGAAGCAGAGAAGAGGAGACAAAAACAAAAGGAGATGTGGAATGGCAGGACCTGGGGGAGGCCAGGAAAACCGTAGGAGAATAGAAAGGTAGACAGTTAATTCTAGACTCTAGGATTCTGCAAAACATACAACAGTTTCTGATAAATGTAGATGCCATTGGGAAGAGACTGTACTAGGGCCTTACTGCCACAGGGTGCCTTAGCACCAGGCAGCATGAGATCTAGGGCAGGTAAAGCAACAGATTTTTATATGTGGAGCAAAACAGATGTGAAAGATCATGTAACAGAGTTGATTACTGAATCAACTACTTTTGAAGACAGGAGCGATAAGCATTTTAGCTTCACTTAGTTCTCCTCCAAATATAATGAGATAGAAATATAAAAATCTTGATCCAATAGACATGGCTTATTTATAGTATTTCTCTTTGGTTTTTCTTAATGGATAAACTTGAAGAACATGATCAGCAACAAAGCATCAGAGAAGCTTGGTTCAGGCTTCAGAGTTTTATTTATACACAGGAGATGGCGTTTTGAATGAGGCATGTCTTATCAGCATCGATTCTTTAGTGCTCCCTGGCTCATTTCCTTTAGGCAAAAAAATATGTTTTTAAAACAGATACAAGATATGTTCCTTCTAGCGGCCTGTCAAAGTCAAAAATACCTGGAGGAAACATAGTCTTTTGTCGTTTTGAATGAGGCATGTCTTATCAGCATTGATTCTTTAGTGCTCCCTGTCTCATTTCCTTTAGGCAAAAAAAAAATGTTTTTAAAACAGATACAAGAGATGTTCCTTCTAGCAGCGTGTCAAAATCAAAAATACCTGGAGGAAACACAGCTGTTTGTTTTTTGTTTTTGGCTTATTCAGCTGCAATTGCCAGGCAAAACCTCTTGGATTCATATTAGGTGACTTACAAGAGATTCTTTAAAAATGACATTTCTTTAAAACAAGGGAACAGGCTTGGAAGAAGATGGCTTGCTAACTGGAAAGAAACATTCACCTGTAGCAATAGAATAACATACAAGCATCTCAAAGATTCATCTATCCTTCCCATGAAGGGAAACCTAATTTGAGCTCTTCATGTATTCTATGATAACCATGAAGGGAAACCTAATTTGAGCTCTTCCCTTCATGTATTCTATGATACAATGATTATGGTGCTATTAAGACTAGCTATTGTTCTAAAAATCTATTCACTTGCATGTCCATTAATAATATGCTTTTTCACTTGCCATCCATACTTCTATCATGATATAAATAAGCTAAATGGGACATTTCCTAAGAGAAGGACTGGACCAAAACCAGTGATTAAAAACAGTGTAGAAATGGAAGCATTTCAAATTGCAGAGGGCAATTAATATGTCTCTTTACTTTTACCATTTGAAAAAAAAATGACTCTCATCATATCATATCTGTTCTGGAATGTATCTTGTGTAAATGCATCTTTACAGTACAAGGATGCTTAAATGGTACTCATTTTGGTTTTTTTTTTAAAAAAACACATGATAGACAGCCTGATTCTGTATTCAGCCTTAGTTTATGCTAGCGTGGAGACAAGGCATCTGTTTTCAACTGCTGGGCATCCTGTGCACCCACTTATATCTTTTGCCACCTATAAGAAGTCTTGCTGCAATAATACTAGTTAAGCTCAAAGGTGTGACAGCACTTTTTGTCTTTCGACAGCTGTGGGATTTTGCACTTTCCAAAGAGTAGTTCAGAATATGATACGTTTTAGTCAGCGCTATTAAAGATTCTCATGCAAAATTCATGGTGTGCCATCATCTACCTGTGTAATATACGTGCACAGATGCACATGCAGAAATACCCGTGTGTGATTGCTGAAAATGTTGTACAAATATGAAACCAAGACTTTTTTCCCTACAGAGTTTAATTCTATGGGTCCTTATCTGTTTATATTAAAAAATTCCCAGGCAGCACAGAAGTTATACTCACTTTGATTTCCTGTGTTTCTAAAAAAATGTGAGAAATCACAGATTCCTTTGTTATAACAACCCAGCTTGGATGTCAGAAACAAGAAGAACAATGCCAGTGCAAAGATGGATAGTATTCTGACACTTTGGATACAGAAAAGACAAAAGATGGAAAGAAGGAAAGGTTTATTCTTTGACCTCACCATAACTTTGTGTTGCCCAGTAAGATTTGGAGGCTCGCACAGCAGCTGGGTCTCAGAGACGGTGACAGCGCAAGGAGTTTCTCCAATCAGAACAGTGTAATTTAGCTTTGCTCCACCAGAGGCAGGAGGACACAAATTTTTACCCTGTGGGAAATAATATACAGAAAATGTCTTCACCTTTTTTTGATGAGTAGTACCTCAAATCTCTTTAAATCCTGTTCTGTAAGTTACGTAGTGTAATTGTGATGTTGTCATCAACCATAACAAATTTTTCTTTGGAAATAAAATATTTTCAGTCCCTCCACCCTCACCTTGCTGAAAGACCCAATTTAATTTCAGAAATTAAAGACTTATTCCTACAGCTTTCAACAGCTTTGCCTCTATGAAGGGGATTCCATGAGAACCTTTGGACTGGCATTTTTTCATTTATGGAACAGGATTAGAGTCACTATATGCCATGTATTTGTCTCAAACAATCTCTGTATAATCTTTTCCCAATTGTTGCTATCACTCATAATACAAATGCCTTATAAATTGTTGGACAATTTAATGAGTTAACTTACTTCCACTCACGGACAGGTATAGTTTCAAGTCTGCTGCATCTAAATATCTGTACTCTTGTATCCCTGTTTTATAATCGTGCTCTGAATGCTAACCCTGCATGATCTCTCACAGGCAATGCGCTTTCAGCCTCTTCACTCCTCTCTTGCTACTACTCACTTCCACTCAACAGAAGGCTATTGAGATTCTTAACAATTTATGATTTATCTACTCAAGGGTCAGGGAGACTGCTAGCCAGGCTCCTTGTGTTCTGGTGTTCTATTTTAACTGATGATCCTCATTTTATTGTATTAGCTTAAACTCAAATTGTAACATAACATAAAATAAGGCAAATGCTAACAATAATGCAAATGGCCTGGAAGCATGGAGAGAGACTGAAACCATAAATTATATAAGAAGCCAGTCCAACTGAGGAAATCAACTAAGCATTTTTAAGGTACAGAAAAGAAAAAGAAGGAAAAAGGCTGTGAGTATGCGTCATAGTATCAATGAAAAAAAACATTAAATCAAAGTCCTTTTCTATCTAATCCAATCCCAAGCATTCTAATGTAGCAAAGACATATTGAGCACTTGGGAACTCTGTTGCTTTTATTT